ACATAGAGAATGATGTTATTATGTTATTTTCACTCCAGAGAGGGTTTTCCCTTTTCTTTTGGTCCAATCAGGAATTGAACTAGGACAAGGCTGGGTTGCAGTTTTAATTAGATTCAACCTACTTCTGGTTTCAAATGTCATGAAGGAAAACTAGCTGGAACCTGGTTTGGACTTACTCTGTCAACTGTGAGAGATTTATTCTGACCTTCAGACTCTTACCCCATGCCACTTTCAAATTTGGCAAATGTCTAGATGGGCCATGTGTTTGAAGTAGGCTCTTTTCCTCAAGCAAGACTTTGTCTCTGAAATACTTCAATACTGTAGGAGATTTTGGTCTGACTTTTAGAAGCTCCTTAACTTCCCATGCAGTCTCCAGATACAGCAAATACACCATGAGGAAAATACCACCGCATATTTAGGGATCCTGAAGTTTCCAAAGTGTTGCGCCAGCCCACCCATTCTCCAGAATTTGTCATTTATTTTCCAGGGTACTATCCCTCAATTCATGTGCTCACAGAATTGGGTAAGATTCTGAGGTCTAAGAGGCAGCTGTCATGGCCTTTTCACCTTTGAATGGCTCATCCCTCTCTGGTTTATTTTACTTAGTTCTCTCTGCTTTACCAGATACGTGATGTTTGTAAAAATAAGTTTTTTTCAAATTATATAGTGTATTTTTACTTTTTGCAACAGGGGTGATAGAGCAATGACCTGTTACTTCCTATTCCATCCTATTCTGAACGAGAAGTTCCTATGTCCCAGGTTTTTTTTTTTTCTCTTTCTTTTTTTTTTTTGTGGTATGTGGGCTTCTCACTGTTGTGGCCTCTCCTGTTGCGGAACACAGGCTCCAGACGCGCAGGCCCAGCGGCCATGGCTCACAGGCCCAGCCGCTCTGCGGCATGTGGGATCTTCCCGGACCGGGGCACGAACCTGTGTCCCCTGCATTGGCAGGCGGACTCTCAACCACTGTGCCACCATGGAAGCCCCCAGGTTTTTTTGATGTTTTAAATTCTTTAATCTGTTCTTAGAGAGTGTCATTACATACAGTTGGTGTCATTTGCCCAAAACAAACCCAGAAAATATTAGATCGTTGCCTTTTGGTACTAACACCTGTTTCATTTCATACAATGGCATAGGTTAACATTTAAGCTGATTCATCTATTTGTTAAGTTGCTTGTTGAGCACCGGTTAGGCAGGAATTGTTCTGCACATGACTGGGGATATAATAATGACCAGAAAAAGAAAAAAATACCTGCCCTCTCAATGCTCACATTCCACTTTGAGGAAACAGATGATAAATCAAATACAAAGCAGGGTCATCAGCTGAGAATAAGGAAGATAGAGAATGTGTTAGTTTTTTGGTATTTTTTTGGCTTTTTTTCCTATTAGATTTTTTTTTTTTTTTTTTTTTTTGGCGTTACGCGGGCCTGTTTTGCAACAGGGGTGATAGAGCAATGACCTGTTACTTCCTACTCCATCCTATTCTGAATGAGAAGTTCCTATGTCCCAGGTTTTTTTTTTTTTCTCTTTCTTTTTTTTTTTGTGGTATGTGGGCTTCTCACTGTTGTGGCCTCTCCCGTGGCGGAGCACAGACTCCGGACGCGCAGGCTCAGTGGCCATGGCTCACGGGCCTAGCCGCTCTGTGGCATGTGGGATCTTCTGGACCCGGGCACGAACCCGTGTCCCCTGCATTGGCAGGCAGACTCTGAACCGCTGCGCCATCAGGGAAGCCCTTTCCTATTAGATTTTTGACAAGAAAAAGAGAAGATGTGAATGGTAAGTTTAGAGAAGAGAGAGGAGTAAATGGACTAGGGAAGTATTTTAGGATTGTCAGTGTTGATTGAAAAAAATGCACAATGTGTGAGTTGTGAGTCAACTTTTATTTGGGGTAAAATGAGGACTGTAGCCCGGGACACAGCATTTCAGGTAGCTCTGAGAAACTGCTCCGAAGAGGTAGGGGGGAAGGTATTATATATGATTTTAGTGAAGAGGGGTACGTGCAGTGAAGCACACATTTTGGCAGAAGGTTGCTGCTAGTCACAAGGAGCAGATGTCATGGTTAATGATTTTAGTGCTTTTCTAGATGTGAGAAGATGCACGAATTGGGCTTATAAAATTTTGTCCTGAAAATATCTATCCTGAAAATTATCTGAAGACCTGCTCTGCCAGTGTTTCCCAGAGCACAGAGTGCCTCATTCTTGATCTCCACCCTGATCTCCTTTCAGGGGGCGTTGAAGGTCAGCGGCTGCTAGAGGCAGATGGCAAGTGCCAATTTTTAGTTGGCATCAGGCATCACCAAACTACTTAGACATGAATTTTGAATGGTTGGGCTTTCTTCTGTCACTTTCTGCTATTAAGGTGAAAGCACAGAGTAGAAGGAGAGTGGGATTTAGGGAAGACTGGGGCCTTCTAGGCTAAGTACAGTGGAGGCGAGAAGGGCAAAGAGATCCAAGGTGTGTATGCAAAGCAGTAGTAGTGATGGACCAAGGAATCTAACCTGGATAAATAAGGAAGAAAAGAGAAAAGGAAATAGTGTTAGGAACAGTGGATTGGCACTCTTTGTGGGAATGAAAAATTACTGAAGGGGTCCCTAGAGTCAGTTAAACTGTAAATATAAGAGATAGAGAGTATTTACTTGAAATCAGGATGTTGGAGGCTATACAGTTATTAATAATGACAGATGTACAGTAGCATTTCTCAGTAGGTGAACTACAAGCATTTGGGGCAGGGTAATTCTTTGATGTGAGAGACTGTTTCACATTGGTCCCCAGACAGTAAAAGTCTGTAGCAGTCTCCTAGAAGCCCACCCCAACCTCCATTTCCCACCTCCCCACCCCCCCACACATGCACATTTCTAAGTAAGGTCAGAGCCACAGGTCTAGGGCATGACCAGTGGATTTGGTGGTTGTGCTGGAGAGACGTCTACCAGCTAGGTTGTTTTAGGCGGCAAGTAATAGAATTCTTAAATAATACAGTTTTCTTATCTCACTTAAGAAATCAGAAGTACACAGTTTCCGTGCTCTTATCAGGGTTAGCTTCTCTGTGATTTTCTTGGCTTTTCCCTCATGATTCCACATTACTGTCAAAGTTCCAGACTTCATGACTTCACACATCCAAAGACCAAAAAAAAAAAAAAGGAAGATTCATTTCCTTTCATACATGTCTCACTTAATGGGACCTCTCAACGTACCATTCATTCTAACTAGTTCACGTGCCTAATTCTTAACCAGTCCTGGCAACGTAGAATGAGATTGGTATGACTGATGGAAGTCTTCTTCCTTTTGGCTGAGCCTACCTTGCCTAAGCACACTGTAGCCTGATACCTGAATTTGGTGCACAAGCAGGAAGAGAGGGGTAGCTGCTGGGTAAACAGCCTCAACAGTGGCTGCATAAGGGGTTTGTGTGCCTGTGAAGCCAGTTGGATAGATCGTCTCTTTTGTTGTTAAAGTCACTAAGAATAATAATAAAAAGAGTTGTAATGGAAGGAAGGGCAGTGGATAACTGTAATAAACAGGTAATGGGTTATACGGTAGGTCCCTGTAGGTTATCCATTTTAAATATAGCAGTGGGTACATATCAGTCCCCAACTGTATTACACGGGGAGCTCTGCCTCATATTCTGTAGAAATCTAAGTGGGAAAAGAATTTGAAAAAGAATAGATGCATGTATATGTATAACTGAATCACTTTGTTGTACACCTGAAACTAACACAACGTCGTTAATGAACTATACTCCAATATAAAATAAAAAGTTAAAAAGAAAACCCAAGTAGTGGGCATTTTAGCAGACCTGAGATTTATAGGGAGGACAGAGGTGACAAAGAGGAGGAAGGATACCTATCCCACCTCCATACCCTGCAGTGTGTGGGGTGTAGAAGGAAAAAAACTACTAATGTCCAGTGGATGTTTTTATTCCCCATTTTCTACTCCCAACTTAGATGTCTTTAAAAAACAGAAGGATCTTTTAAAAATAATAAATACAGAAAGTACCAGTTTTCAACATGTTTTGAACCGAAAGAAAAAGCAGATGTGTAAGAAATACTTATTGGATGTAGAAGATCACGATTGAATGCACAATGTGGTGTATCTTACATCTTTAATTCAAATTAACAAATATTTATTGACCACCATGCATATGAATATCACGATACTGTTCTCTGTACAGATGATGAAGATAAATTAGAAAGTCTCCATCCTCTGAAGGTCACAGTCCCTTGGAGTTTTAAATATATATATAAATAATATAAATATATAAGTAATATAAGTTATGTAAAGCAATATATAAATAATATTAGTAATCTAAAGCAGTCAGTAAATGATTTGTACTAACAAAAAATTATGGTGAGGTGGAGATTTACTATTTGGGGTCACTCTATAAGCTAGCAGAGTAACTGTTTTAGGACCATTTCTTTTTTTCCCACATCTTTTAATGGTATCTGGGAATGAGCTTCACTAGATTTAATGTTTCTTTAGTACCTTGCATCTTCTAATTAGAACCACAAGTTAAATGAATAATCCCTATCTTAACTAAGTTGATGAGCCAAGTCATCAATAGGTGGGCCTCAATGTTCATATGTAAAATTTGGAAGGCCAGCACTTATACATATTCTATATTAACATCTCTAAACCTCTCTTCATACACCAGACTCAGTTTTTCATACATCATCTGACATACGTTTTTGGGTTATCACATGATGACATTTTATGCTAAGATGAAAGGGGGCTGAATAGTTGACTCACTGGCAGAATGTACCAACAGTATTTAAAACTGAAAACCTCACATATTAGAAGGTAGACTGTTTCCTACGTATAATTTTAACAACATACAGTGGAGTTTTCTGGTTTAATTTTAATGTGTTTACATGTTTTTGTCAGTAGGTATATGCTTCGATCAGTACTATTAAATAAGGATTTCTCTAGAAAGAAATATATTGCTCTTAGTTTTTAAAATTTAGAGTATGAGCATATTTTTCATTCTTTCTTTTATTCTTTTTTTTTTAAAAGAGTCAACACAGACTGTCCAGGCTCTGCAGTATTCAACTGCTGATGGTCCCCTAACAGCAAGTAAAGATTCAGAAATCAAAAACTTAAAAGAAGAAATTGAAAAACTAAGGAAACAACTAAGAGGTAAATTTCTGTGATTCATTATTAATTCTGTTTGGTAGATATTTTTAAATGTTTTATTCACGCACAAAACATTTATTGAGTACCTGTTATGTGTTACATGATGTGAGCTATGTGCCAGTGAGGGAAAAGCAAATAAAATGGTTCTGCTTTCAAGGAGCTCGTGTTTTGGTCTTGGAAAAAGGTAAACAAATAGTTTTTTGCAGTACATGTGAAAAGGCCAGAAGAAAAATAAACATAGGTACATAGAGAGTACACAGGAGGAGCACCTTACCCAGAATTACGTGAAAAAAAATGACTCTTTGGAGGACCTATTCATTTGGGATATTTGTCTGGCAAAGCATTTATATGAGTAGTTCATTTTTCAGTGTAGGTTAATTAAAATTAATTTTGAATTGTTGATATGCCTATTATATCCATTCATTCATTTATTCCATTCATTCAACAAATATTTATTGAGTAGCTACTATGTACTAGGTGTTGTTTTATGCTCTTGGGATGCAGTACTAAACAAAATGATAAAAATCTTTGTCCTTGCTGGGGTGGAGGGCAAACAACAGACATTAAACAATAACTATGTAACTTTGTAAATGATACAGTATGTTAGAAGGTGATAAGTGCTTAAAAATAGAAAAGATTAAGGAGAATGGGTCAAAAGTGTAAGATGAGGTGTTTTATAATTTTAACTAGTGTGATCCATGTGAGAAAAATATTGAAGGAGTTAAGGGGCCTAGCCATGCAGTTAAATGGGAAACACATGTTACAAGCAGACGGATCAGCCAGTGCAAAGGCCCTGCTGTCAAAATGTGCCTCGTGGGTTCAAATAAAACATAAAAGGACAGCAAGGCTAGAGAAGAATGAGCAAGCAGGTGGAATGGATGGACATGAGGGTAGAGAAATAAACAGGTGGAGAGGGCTCATTGCCTGATCAGTGGAGTCTTACTGACTCTTAGGTCTTTGGTTTGTTCTGTGGGTGAAATGGGAGCCTTCTGCAGGGTTTAGAGGCATCACATGATCTCAGTAAGTGTAAGGGGAGAGAGAGAGAGAAGGTACTATTTTAGCTAGAATAGTCAGACCTCTCTAGAAAAGTAGTTTTAGGCCAAAATAAGTGAAGAAAAGAAGGATCTGACCCAGTGTCTTTTACAAAAAGGATTATTTAAAATGCAATTAAGGCACATGGAGATTTTAAATTTGAGCATAATTTATGCTGTCCTATTTTTTTAAGTGGCTGTCCTCCTAATAAACATCTCTTTATCAAATTTCTGTAGCTTTATCTTTTTAAAACTAAGATTAGGAATATGATAAGTAGAATCATTTACTTTGCTTTGATATCAACACTAAAACATTATCAGTGGCACTGAATGTATTTGAGTTTTTTGGCACTAAAAAAGCAGTGAGACATAAGACACAACTAGGATGTTTAGTGATCCATATCATTTCAAAGAAGTGATATGGATTTGGAAAAACCTATTTACGTAAGTCTATCTCACTTATATGTTCTAGGAGGGATTTTGTTTTTTGTTTTGTTTTGTTTGTTTGTTTTTAAGATTCCTTGGGATTTTCTGTGCTGACCATCATGCATCTTCAAATAGGAACAATTTTCTTTTGCCCTTTCTTTTTTTTTTTTTTTTTTTTTTTTTTTGCGGTATGTAGGCCCCTCACTGTTGTGGCCTCTCCCATTGCGGAGCACAGGCTCCGGACGCGCAGGCTCAGCGGCCATGGCTCACGGGCCCAGCCGCTCCGTGGCATGTGGGATCTTCCTGGACCGGGGCACGAACCCGTGTCCCCTGCATCAGCAGGCGGACACTCAACCACTGTGCCACCAGGGAAGCCTTCTTTTGCCCTTTCTGATCTGGATGTTTGGGGGTTTTTTTCCCTTATTTCACTGGCTAGAACTTGCAGTACTTTGTTGAAGAAGAGAGTGTTGAGAACAGACATCCTGGTTTTCTTTCCTATCTTAGGGGGAAAGTATTAAGTCTTTCACCTTTAATTGTAATATTAGCTGTAGGCCTTTTATAGATACTCTCACCAATTTAGAAGCTCTCCTCTATTTCTGTGTTTCTAAGGGTTTTATCATGAATGGGTTTGAATTTTGTCAAATATTTTTTCTGCACTGATTGAGATGAACGTGTGGTTTTTTTTTTTAGTTAACCTGTTAATATGGTGGATTAAATTGGTTGATTTTGAAATATTGAATCATTGGAATATGCACATGCCTGGTCATGGTGTATAATTATTTTTATATATTAATTCTATTTCCACTGTTTTGTTCAGGAATTTTTAATCCGTATGCATGAGAGATACTGGTCTTTGTTGTATTTTTCTTTTTCTTTTTTTTGTACTGCCTTTGCCTGGGTTTTTAATTTGTTTTCTTCTTTTGTTTTTTGGTTTTTTAATGAGTTATGATTGACACGTAACATTATCTTAGTTTCAGGTGTACAACATAATGATTCAATATTTGTATATATTGTGAAATAGTCACCTTAGTAAGATTAGTTAATTTCCATCACCACATATAGGTCATAAATTCTTTTTTCTCGTGATGAGGACTTGTAAGATCTATTCTCTTAGCAACTTTCAAATATACAATACAGTATTATTAACCGTAATAATAGCACCATGTTGTACATTACATCCCCAGTATTTATTTATTATATAACTGGAAGTTTGTACCTTTTGACCATCTTTCCTCCTTTAACCCACCCTGCACCCCCGTCTCTTGCAACCACCAGTCTTCTCTATATCTGTGAGTTCAGTTTGTTGTTATTGTTGTTTTTGTTTTAGATTCCACGTGTAAGTGAGATCTTACTGTATTTGTCTTTCTCTGTCTGATTTATTTCACTTAGCACAGTGCCCTCACGGTCCAATCCATATTGTCACATATGGCAAGATTTATTTTTGTGGCTGAAAAGTACTCTATTGTTTATATACAATCCAGAAGTGGAATTGCTGGATCATATGGTAGTTCTATTTTTAATTTTTTGAGGGCTCTCCATACTGTTTTCCATAGTAGCTGCACCAATTTACATTCTCACTAAGAGTACACAAGGGTTCCCTTTTTACCACATCTTTGCCAACACTTTTTATTTCTTATCTTTTGGATGAAAACCATTTTAATAGGTGTGAGATAATGTTTCATTGTGGTTTTGATCTACATTTCTTTGATAATTAGTGATGCTGAGCACCTTTTCATGATGGCCATTTATATGTCTTCTTTAGAAAAATGTCTGTTCAGCTCCTCTGCCCATTCTTTGATAGGATTGTTTGTTTCTTTGCCATTGAGTTTATGAGTTCTTTGTACATTTTCTGTATCAACTTGTTGGTCTTAAAAGTAAAAGTCAGTTATTTTACCAGAAAAAATGGGTTTATTTGGGAATAGCAGAGAATTGCAGTTTGGGACAAGCAAGCCATGACAAAAATCATAGGCAAGTTTAACAAACAAAGTGAGGAACATTTTATAGAGAAAAATGAGGAAGTTGGGAAAGGTTGTTTTGAATGAAAGTCCTTTGGAGAAAAGTGAGAGTTCAGGGTGAAAATGCTTTCTCATTGGCTTAGTTCCTGGGGTAGTTGATTTCTTATAGGACATGTGATGTACTGTCTTTCCTGTTGGGGCCTGTAATTGATGATTCCATTCTTGGTATCTGTAATTGACGATTCTTCCTATAATTGATGAAGAGACATGCTGTGGAGAGTTCCCCCTTCTGGCCTCCCAGCTCCATTTTAGTGAGACTTCCCTTTATTAACTTTCACAAATACCTTGTCAAATATTTGTTGATTTGCAAACATTTTCCCCCTTTCCATATGTTGCTTTTTAATTTTGTTCATGGTTTCCTCTGCTGTACAGAAGCTTTTTAGTTTGATGTAGTCCCATTTGTTGATTTTTGCTTTTGGCTGTGGTATCAGTGTAATGCTGGGCTCATAAAATGAGTTTGAGAGTATTCCCTCTTTTATTTTTTGAAAGAGTTTGAGAAGGATTGATATAAATATCCTTATTCTTTTTTTTAGTTGCTTGAAGTGTAAAGTTAGGTGTCTGAGGTTTTTTTTTTTCTTTCTTTTTTTTTTTACCGTAGGTGTTTATTGCCATGAACTTCCTTCTTAGAACTGCTTTTGCTTTATTCCAAAAGTTTTGGTATATTTTTTCCATTTTCCTTTGTTTCAAGATTTTTTGAGATTTCCCTTTTAATTTCTTTTTGACCCCCTGGTTACTAATGTGTTAATTTCCACATTTCTGTGAATTTTTCCAGTCTTTCCCTTTATTGGTTTCTAGTGTTATACCTTTGTGGTTGGAAAAGATCCTTAGTATGATTTCATTCTTTCTAAATTTGTTAAGACTTGTTTTGTAACCTAACTTGATGTATCCTGAAGAATGTTCCATGTGTGTTTGAGAAGAATGTATATTGTGCTGCTGTTGGATGGAATGTTTTGTATATATCTGTTAGATCCATCTGCTCTGAAGTATAGGTTATGTCCAATGTTTCCTTATCAATTTTCTGTCTAGATAATGTATCCATTGTTGAAAGTAGAATATTGAAGTCCCTTACTATTATTGTGTTGTTGTCTATTTCTCCCTTCAGATATGTTGTATTTACTTAATATATTTAGGGACTACAGTGTTGGGGTCATAAAAATTTTTAATAGTTATATCCTCTTGATGAATTGACCCCTTTATTATTATATAATAAACTTTTTTTGTCTCTTGTTATTATTTTTGACTTAACCTCTCTTTTGTCTGATAAAAGTGTAGCTACCCTTATTCTCTTTTGGTTTCCATTTGTATGGAATATCTTTTTCCATCCCTTGATTTTGAGCCTATGTGTGTCCTTAAAGCTGAAGTGAGTCTTATAGGCAGCATGTAATTGGCTATTGTTTTTTTAATCCATTCAGCCACTTGAGGTCTTTATTGGAAAATTTAATCCATTTATATTTAAAATAATTATTGAGTAGGTATGGATTTACTAATGTCATCTTATTGTTTTCTGGCTGTTTTACAGTTCCTTTGTTCC